TAATTCATTCATCAAATAATTACTGAGACCTATTATATACCCCAAAACAAAAACAAAATCCGTTGCCGTCAGGTTGATTCCTACTCAGCACTCTATAGGACGGAGTAGAGCTGCCCCATAGGGTTTCCAAGGAGTGGCCAGTGGATTTGAACTGCCAACCTTTTTGGTTAGCAGTCGTATCCTTAACCACTGTGCCACCAGGGACACCTAGAAATAATGCAATAAATTGAGAAATCAAACCCCTGCCCTCAGGGAATTTTAAGTCTATTAGAGGTGGGGGTGGGGAGGTGGAGGAAACAAACAAGTTAAAAGGCAATTATATTACATGTTTATAATAAAAACCAGTTGCTGTTGAGTCGATTCTGACTCATGGTGACCCCATATGTGTCTGTACAACTATGCTCCGTAGACTTTTTCAGTGGTGGATTTTTCAGAAGTAGATCACCAGACCTTTCTTCCAAGGTGTCTCTGGGTGGACTTGAACCACCAAACTTTATGTTAGCCTAGTGCTTTAACCATTTGCATCAGCCAGGGCCTCTGAGTTGATAATATGCTGCCATATTTCCATATTCCTATTTATATCTTTACCACCTAGAAGTGAGATTTTACTCTGTCTGCTTTCTTTACAGAAATACAGGTTTTTAATACAATGTGGTTTATTTGCATGAGCTACAGAAACGTTCTCAAATTATCCTTTGCTTTTGTGAGTTAGAAGCAACCCAAGGAATATTTGAATATTGACATTTCAAAAATTACTTGCCAACTGTCAACACATGATCAAAACAAAACAGTATTAGTATCTACTTTTGTACACCAACACACTCCCATATACATACTTTGGGTAGCTTTGCTGCTAACTTAAATGTTGATAAAACAGGAAGTACCCTAACAGAACAAACAACAACCAAAGACAACTCAGAAAAAAGTAGGGAGAAATGCAATCATGGGGAAAAAAAGCTCATCATATGCTACAGATACAGTGGCTTTCCCTGCGTGGCATTTTGGCCAAGGCAGTCAGGGACTGGTCATTACAGTTACCACTAGTTTTTTTTAAAGCAGCTGCCATAGAAGCTGGGGGTCATAAAGCTTTAACTACAGAGAGAGATGTAAGAGGCACAAAAGTTATAAAAAGAGTCTTTCTAATATATCTGGGCATTCTTTCGTGGTCTGCCATAACATTTCCTGGAAATCATCAAGAGGAAACAAGGAAGGACAGTATCTTCTAGGACAGTGGGCACTGAATGTATTTTTGTAGCTATTTAACCTTGAAAAGAGAACAAAAGACCAAAATAATGATGATAAAAGAGTAAAATGAAATAACAAAAACTCAAAATAATGATCATTATGGAAATGAGAGGAGAAAATGAACAAGGAAACTTTAAAGAAAAGATAACGAAAATAAAAGGTGGAAAAGAGGCTTTTCTAAGATGAATGCTTGAAAGATGGAGGCCAGAGAAGCAGAAATAAATGCACTAATATCAGAGAATTTTATTATAATCATGTTTACTATGTTATGTTATGTTTTCTAAATTATCCTCCATTTTAAATTCATATTGTCAGCTGAGTCAGAACCAATACATTTTCCGTTTGTTAAATGTCTTCCAAAGTAAAGTTAACACTTCCACAGGAGCCTTAGATTGTGCTCCCTATAACCAGGCACTAATAAAAACTAGAAAAAAATATAGGTTGAATAATTATATAATCTTAAGGTGGCAAAAGGTTTTCTAACTATAGTACACAAGGAAGAAACTATTATAGACAAAATTGACACTTAAAACTAGAAAACACTTATATTTCAGAAAACAGTATGTAGACATCTAGTTACGCATGGTACACCCATCACTCAACAAAGAAGTATAGAGATTCGAACTAACTTTTAAGTGCCTTACTTTTAAACATTAATAGAGATCCAAGGATCATCAGACAAACGAGAGAAATCTCTAATAACAAAAGAGGCACCAAACAAACTGGAAAAGAGAGCATAGAGAAAAACAAAGATAGTACAAAGAAGAAAGGCTTTAAATAAGAAACAGAAAGCCATGGTGTTTCAGAATCTGGGGATTCAACGCCAGATTATCTGAGGGGATATACAAGGAAAACTTCAGTGCAGCAGGTAGAGAGAAACCTGCGGAGACAAGAGTAGATGGGCAGAGGGCTTTGGAGAGAGGCTTCCACGGAAAAAAATGAGGGGGAAGGGAAGGCAGATGGATTATTTTATACACTTGAGCATTTAGAAAATACTATTAAGATTTAGGAAAAAGAGAATTAGGCACATAACATTCTAAGGAAACTAAAAATATGAGGTATTTATCAATTCTACAATAAACAGAAAATTGTAAAAAAAAAAAAAGGAAACAATCATCATGTAACATTAAGATCAGAATTTGAAAATTATATCAGATTAATACTAAGCTAAAAATTAAATAAAATAAAAATTATGTATATATGTATTAGAAAGATGGGGGATAGTGAATTGGAGAAGAATATAAAGGTTCTATTCCTCATAACAGGAATTCAATATGTAATGTCTAAAGTCTTTGAATCAAGAAATGGCTATATATTATTTTACAAATATATATCCTGCTACCAGAAAGATGTTTATCTACATTTTATTGACTATGAAAAGGCATTCAACTGTGTGGATCATAGCAAATTATGGATAGCACTGCAAAGAATGGGGATTCCAGAACACTTAATTGTACTCATGTGAAACTGTACATACACCAAGAGGCAATCATTTGAACAGAACAAAGGGATACTGTGTGGTTTAAAATCAAGAAAGGTGTGCGTCGGGGTTGTATTCTTTCACCATCTGTATGCTGAGCAAATAATCCGAGAAGCTGGACTATATGAAGAAGAATGCAGCCTCAGGACTGGACAAGACTCATTAACAACCTGCGATATGCAGATGACACAACCTAGCTTGCTAAAAGTGAAGAGGACTTGAAGCACTTACTGATGAAGATCAAGTACTACAGCCTTCAGTATGGGATATGCCTCAACATAAAACAAAAATCCTCACAACTGGACCAATAAGCAATATCATGATAAACAGAGAAAAGATTGAAGCTGTCAAGGATTTCATTTTACTTGGATCCACATCAACATCCATGGAAGTAAGAGTCAAGAAATTAAATGGTGCATGGCATTGGGCAAATCTGCTGCAAAAAGACCTCTTTAAAGTGTTAAAAAGCAGTGATGTCACTTTGAGGACTAAGGTGCACCTGGTCTAACCCATGGTATTTTCAATCGTCTCATACACATGAGAGGGCTGGACAATGAGTAAGGAAGACCGAATAAGAATTAATGCCTTTGAATTATGGTGTTGGTGAAGTGTATTGAATATACCATGGACTACCAGAAGAACGAACAACTCTGTCTTAGAAGAAGTTCGGCACTCCTTAAAAGCAAGGGTGGTGAGACGTCTTCTCATGTACTTTGAACATGTTATCAGGAGGTACTAGTCCCTAGAGAAGGACATCATGCTTGGTAAAGTAGAGGGTCAGCAAAAAAGAGGAAGACCCTCAATGAGATGGATTAACATGATGTCTGCAACAATGGGTGTAAACATGGCAACAATTGTGAGGACGGTGCAAGATCGGGTAGTGTTTCATTCTGCTGTACATAGGGTTGCTATGAGTCAGAACCAACTTGACGGCACCTAAGAACAACAACCTATAACCAGTCCCACATAAAAGTTAGAAAAATGTAGATGAATAATTATGTGACCAAAGGGTACAGAATGCTATCTCTAGGAAATTGGATAGGAGTTGCTGAAAGATAGCCTACTTGGTCATGATAAATCATCAATACTTGTCTTTTTAGACTATGTATATATAATCACTGTGATAAAACTAATTTGTAAAACATGGTAAACAAAAACAATAACTAGACAAAATGTTGATATACAAAATATATAAAACATGCTTACAAAACTATAAAACAAATGTGAAAAGAAAAAAAAATGGACAAAAATTTAATAGCCATACAACAGAGAAAAAAATTACACTTGATGTGTAGCTTACCCTTGTTTATTCTTCCCCAGCCCCACTGGCCCTCTGACAAGTTCCCAGCTGTGCCCTTTTCATCTGGATTCCATTCAGAAAGACACCATCCACACCAACCACTCAATACCCTCTCCCTTCCTTCCATTTTTCATTACAGCGCTTATGACCACCTGCAATATTAATTCGTTTATTGCCTGTCTCCCCCATGTGAGCAAGGACCATCTGTTTCATTCGCTGGTTTATCTCCCGTGTCTAGAACAGCGTTTGTCAGGCAGTATAAACTAAATAATTTGTCCTTTGCAGCAAAATTTAAAATGGAATTCACTGGGAAGTCCACCAGTCAGGAATAGGTTAGTAAATTATCAAATGCCCTTATAATGAAATGCAAATCATGTTGTAGATGAATATTTAATGGTATGGCAATGTGATCATGACTTATGGCAACGGGGAAAAATTCTGTTCATACACGTGTGTGTATGTTATATTTACACATAGATATATATACTCATATATATAAAACAAACATACAACAGAATCAGAAAGAGGAGAGAGAGCAAAAGGGGAAGAGGGGAGAGGGAGGAGAAAGGGAAATTCAAAGAATGGCAAAGTGGGCGAGGAGGAGAAAGAAAAAGAGCAGGAAGAGGAAGAAAAGGAGAAAGAGACAAGGGTTTGGGGGAGGGGAGGAATAAACAGATTATTTTTAAAACAACATATTAAGAGAGCTTGTCAATGAGTGGTGATAGTGTAAATGATATTTGTTGACTTCCTCACGCTTTTCTCCAGTCTCTACAACTTTCACAAGAGCATTCCTTGCTTTTTTTAATTGGATTTTTTTCAATGTTGTATTGAAGAATACGTTTAGCGCTTTCATTCTAGAATGTAGCATTTATCTTTACAATGGCACTGGCCTAGAATAAGGTGGTGGGGTAGGAGTTTGGGAGCTGATTAATAAACAATTGCTAAGAGACATGTTCAAAACAGGTAGTCACTTACGTTGTATGATCCACCGATGGCCTGTGGTTTTCTTCCCCATGATGAATACCCCTTCCGTTACCAAGACCCCACCGGAATGTGTTCAAATTTTGGAATAAATTTACTGGGATTGGCTGATACCACTTACACAGGCTTTCTTCTTCAAAGCTGCAAACTTCCATAACTTAAGGAGGGCAGAAAAAAGAGAAGATAATCACAATAAATGTTTCAGTACATGGCAATTTCTATCTGCACCAGCTTCTCTTATTCTTTTTTTTTTTTCTTACTGTAACCTCTCACTTTTAAGCATAGTTATAATAATTCAGCAAACCATCTATACAATCATTGTTTTAAAGAAATCTAGGCTTATTATACTCAAATAAATGTAGTAAATGAAATATAGGATTAAATGCATATAGTCATGAATCTGTTTTCATGAGGAGGTGAGATTTTAATCAGCTTCCTAAATGCAGTAGTTTAAGCATTGCCAGTCTCTTCTAACACAGCAGTTACATTGCTTACATGACTGGCCGCTAAATTCTTACAAGTCTGGTCTCCTTTTCCCCCAGTAATATTCCAAAGCTAAACTTCAGCTCAGTACAAATGTCATTCTATTTAAGCTCAAAACATGAGATTTACAATAAATTTGATATTGTACCTGTTTCCTTGTAAGTTTTTAAGATTCTTGTAATTACTGCATTCTAAAATCATAGCAAATTACAAGCCCAGTAAGTTTTAAAATACATAGTTTGTTGTATGTGGATATGGTTTGTGAGTTTGCTCTCTCTCTCCCTATGTTCACGTCTGTATGTCTTAAATCTTCCACTCCATGAATTCGACAAACAAAAAAAGACTCAGTGAGTTCTTTTGTATACTATACAGCATCTGTATAGTTCATCCTAGTTTTTATGTACTCTGGCTTTTAAGTGACATAAACAGTGAAGGCATAATACTACCACCTTTAGAACTTTTAGTTCATGACTTAATGTAAAATTAGAGGATAGGCTCCCTGAAAGAAAGTGGTTTTTAATCATGACATTCAGGTGTGTTATTTAATCTTCACAGAGATAAATATAATTACATAATCAATATTAATATATATTTTATAATTATATTTATCTTTCTGAAGAGATTTAGGATTCAATACAATAGTACTCCTCATATCACTAAAAAGATAAAAATTATACATTTCTAAAAAATGATTAGAAAATGTAAGGTTATTGAATATAATCAGTTTCTCATAATATTCTATCTTGTAAAGAGATGGAGGAGGCAAGATCATACAGTTGTCATAAATAAAACAGTAATAATTTAATTCACATTTATTTTAAAAAATCCCCAAGATTTTAAAATATTTTAATAATAGACGTTCATTTGGAAAATTTAAATAACTCATCAAAACTTCTCATTCAATCATTAACGACAATACTAAAACTGCAAAGTCAAACTAAGAAATTCAGAATTCACTAAAGATACTCACTACTTGTAATTAATTACATTTTGCATAAGGTTTCAAAAACTGTACAATTTAAGTATGATCATAAGAGGATTTTAGTGTCTTCCTATGAGAAAGTACGAATACCACAACCATCTTCCATTGCACTATCCTGCATCTGTGATAAGCAGCATAATCCCCTAACTAACTTGAATTAATTACTGTCTCATCTCATTCACAAAGTGAGTCACTGTCAGCTTTGATTTTATTTTATTTTTTAGATTAGTTAGTTAATTTATGTTATATATGTACATTAAGAAGCCCCCCACCCACCCACCCTGGGGTAAAAGAATAGAATATGAAATTTAAATGATTTTTTAAGTCCTAGAATTTCTTCACAAGGCTGATATAAGATAGGTAAGAATTCCACTATACTCTCTGCATTATCAGTATGTTTTGGACCCACGATATTATCAAGACACTTGAGAAACAGAGTATAGTAAATTCGGATGCTACTAAATACAGGTTATCCAACGACAAAGAGAGAGTCTAAAAGGAGCAGGGAAGGGAAAAACAATTACAAAGTTATTCTTATCTGGTGCTTCACGCATTCAAACATAGATTAACTCTACTCCTCTCTTAGAATTATCTTTCATTGTGAAGTTCACTTCTGAGTTAAATAATTTGCCTTTGATTCACTTAGGAAAAACAGTAGATCAGTAAGTACCAATAAATGAAAACCATATTTCACCAGTTCTCAAGTGTTTAAAGTCCCATCTATATTAGAAATGGCTTTCTCATGAACTCTGCATATTTGACATAACATTCATTATATATATGCATTCAGGCAATGGCAAAATTTGAACAAATTTTTCCAATTTGCAGGTATTATAATGCCGAGCAAAGAAGATCTAGTAAATGATAATTCTGAAGTCAAGTTCATAAAGACAATGATCCTCCAAATTCCCCAAAACTCTTATCAAAGGATTCAAAATGGTCCTAGAATTTTTAGTGACAGACAGTTTAGCATAAGGAGAATATAGTATTTATTCACATATGTTAATAGCTCAACTGACTTGTTTTAACATATTTTTATAATTGATCCAAATATTTATTTATACTCTATAATTAGGCAACATCTGACTGGGTCGGAGAACTGTCTTTACCTTGCATACCTTAGATCAAGTATACCCATTGCCATCAAGTCAATTCTGACTCATAGCAACCCTATAAAACAGAGTAGAACTGCCCCATAGAGATTCCAAAGAGCAGCTGGTGGATCCAAACTGCCAACCTTTTGGTTAGCAGCTGATCGCTTAATTACTGTGCTTATCTTCCAGCAGCACTATCTGTAGACTACTGTGATTCACACTCAGACTCATTCTCCCAACCTACCAACTTTGTGTAATCCATATAATTGTTTCTAATCCAAAACATTAATCCAAAACCATTTACCTCTTTTTGGGCATGACAGCAGACTACATGCTGATTCTTCTATAATTTGCTATACAAATAGCTCTTATGTTAAGAAATTGCTCTAAGCCAAGGTGAACATTTCTAACTATGCCACTTGGCCATGCTACTTAGTGATTACACTATTTTCTTATCTATTTCTTATGCTATATTTAATACACAATTTAGAAATTCACCTACCACAAGATGATTCATCAGATTTGTCAGGGCAGTCATGTCTAAAATCACATTTCTGAATTTTTTCAATACAGTGACCATTGGACCTGCAGGCAAATTCATGGTCTGTGCAGTTGTGTGGAGATAATGTCACTGGTATGGAAGTTTTTGTCGGAGTTGGAAAGTCCACGGGCAAATTACCTTAATAGGAAATAATACACAGGCATCTCTTAGTAGATTTTCCATTTCTTTAGAGATTTTGCACAACAGAACTTTTCTAAATACACTGACTATTCAAGCTTATAAAGAGTATTCAATAGCATTTGTTAATCTGTTTAACACCCTTATGTAAGCATATAAATTAGGGATCTTGGTCTTAAGAAATAGCAAATAACTCTGGATATCTGATTATAAAATAGGTGGAGGTACAGATAAAAATTATTGGAAAGCTATTCAGAACTCACTGAATAAATGAAAGGCCAAAGGGCAGGGCTGGAAGATCAGCAGGAAGCAAAATAGTTCCAGATGCTGGCATTAGGAGCTAGAGTCAAGATTCGATTAAACATTTTAGTCCACTGGGTAAATTAACTTTATGCTTCCACTGCTACAATGAATCTAAATTTCAAACATCTCCTGATCTTTGTTTTACATATTCAAGGTTCAAGGTTGCAGGAGGTATCCTAACCAAAAACAATCATCTAGAAGTATTTGAGCAATGAAGTCAATAATTTCTGAAATTACAAAAGCTGGAAAAATTTTATACAAATTTAAGAATTTAAAAATTAAGTGAATCAATATACATTTATCGATAACGTCCATGTTTCATGAATGTGGTAAGTGGTATGGATCTAAAGCCAAATACACCATCTCTGTCATAAATAGTTTACAAACTAGTGGACACAGCAGCCAGATAAACGTTTCATTACAGTCCTGTGTGACAAGTCTCTGATAGAGATTATAATCCACAGGAACAAGAATGATGTCAATCCATTTAACCCTGTATCCACAGCATAATTCACAAACCATGGTACATGGTAGGCACGTGATTATTGACAAGTGAATGAATGGACAGAAGGAAGGAAGGAAGGAGGGATCACAGAGTGAACAAATGAATAGATGAATTAGATAAATGAGTGAAAGATTGCACATTGTATTAAAGAAGACAAAAAAGGTTATATCAGATAGGAGTCAGGGAAGGCTTCCTGGCAAGATGATATTTAAACTAAGGTTTAAGTTTTAAAGGATGATTAGTTGCTGGCTAGATGAAGAAAGCTACAAGGTCTTTTTGGGAAACGAGAAAAACTTGTGTGAAGGCAGAGTAATACATTGGCCTGTTGTTTTTTGTAATACCACGAGCATTTGGCATGAAAAAGGCCAAGTTCTTAAACACTGTGCCACCAGGGCTCCCTGTATAATACAGTAAGAATGCATTTGTTGGAGTTGCTGGATATGGGACTGGAGGGGAGAAGCTTACCAGATCATAAAGGGCCAGATAGGGACAACAAAGGAGTTTGAAATAAAAACTAACAGCTGTGGATAAATGCCAAGACATGATAAAATTTTCACTTCAAGAAATATCCTGGTAGTGGTGTGGAAGCTGTATTGGAGGTGACTCTGACATGGGGAAGAGAGACCAGTTAGACTTTTTTTATAATCCTGAACACTAATAACCCAGAGCCGAGATGGTTTGGAGGGGAGGGCAAACACATGAGCATCAGTCATTATCCAGTATCTAGAGGACTGCAGATTTGGGTGCTGTGGGGAACATGAGTGATGGCAGTGGGTTTGGTTTGGGTATCCGTAGGCAAGAGGTCTTCCAAAGTGTGAAATTCAGAAGTAAACAAACTCTCTAGAAAATGCCAGGCCTCCCTGTGTGGAAGCAGAAGCCTACTGCTGTGAATTACAAGATTCATGCATCTACAGCTAGCTAGCTCCAAAAAGAAATGCATGATCAGGTTCTCCTTCCGAACTCACCGACACGTCTTTGCTCTTCGTTTCCTGGGGAGGACTAAATAAGAGGTTGAAGATAGACCAGGAATGTTAGGCTACTGGAGCTCAATCTGTATGGAAAGAGAGACAAGGACCAAGGAAAAAGTATTCTACTACAAGGGGATTAGTTAAGAATGACTCCACATTTCTGGACTGGACTGGTAAGTGGATGATTATGTCATTCTCTAAGATAGAATATATAAAAGGAGGAGCAGGTTTGGAGGGAAAAGAAATATTTTCTACCTCAAGACTGGAAATATAACAGTCCAAAAAAGATAAACCCTAGCAGGTCAGAGAGTCCACCTGTTGCGTTGGATAGAGCCACATCTAAGTCACTCAAACTCTGGGTGGCAAATATCCTTCCCTAGTCTGTGATATGTATTTTTATTAATATCCTTCCCTAGTCTGTGATATGTCTTTTTATTTTGTACAGTGACTTTCAAAATAAAAGATTTTAATGTCTTCTAATTTATCGTTTACTTCCTTTATGGTTTGTGCTTTAAGGTCTTAATGAAAAAAAAATCCTTCCCTATTTCAACTTCATACATATTTTCTATCATTTTCATAAAATTTTGATAGTTTTACTTTTCACGTTTAGGTTTTTAATCCATCTGGACTTTATTATCATATATTGTTTGTTGTAAGAAACCAAATTTATTTTTTCACATGAATGACAATTTCTGATCTATTAATCTATTGAGCAATACAAAGTTTTCACACTTATGATTTTACATTTTAATTATAAAAGGTATTATGCATATATAAGAATGAATATAAAATACATGTCTGGTTAAAAGAATAATAAAAAAAATAGCCATACACCTAACACCCAGCTTATGAAATAAACAATCATGGAGAGTTTTGAAACTCCAAATTTTGCCTTGCTGATTCCATACCTTCATTGCCCAGTTAACAGTACTGAATTCTGTGTTTTCTTCATTTCATTTGCTTTTATCATTCTCTTCATTTGCTTGTGTATCTGACACCATAGTATATATAGTACCTATTTCATTACGTTATTACATGATTAAATGAGTTAACACTATAAAATTCTTAGAATAGTGACTATATATAGTGAGCACAATGTAAATGCTTGATAATAAATAAAATGTTGTTTAGTCTTTGGATTTCAGATAAGTTGAATCATTCTCTATATAATCTGAAATTTTCTTTTTCTCTGAACGTTGTGTCAATTCAACCATGTTAATGCCTATTCTTTTAATTCAGTCATTTTGACTGTATAGTATTTCATCGTATAACATGTTATTTATCTATTCTACCATTAATGTTATTTTTATTTGATTCTATTTGGGTTTTGTTTGTTTTGTACATGTCTCTCGATACATCTAGGAGTAGTACACACAATCTAAAATTACTAGATAATATCAAACTTTCCCAAAGTAATTGTATCAATTACTATACTTCTCAGCAGTGTATAAATGTTCTGGTTACATCACATACTTGCCAACCACTGGTATATTTAGATTTACCCAAGTGTTGCCTTTCTCTCTCTCTCCATTCCATTTTGCATATGAGCTCTTATTAAGCTAGTTTTGTCTCCTTTTAAGGTGCACATTTGCATAATTTACTTGACGGGGTCTGGTGGAGTAATATCATTTTTTCTTTGTGAATGCTATCATCTGAATTCCTTTTTTTCATCCTCATTTCTGAAAGATAGTTTTACTTTGCTGAATTTACAGCTTCAGGTTAACAATTCTTATTTCTCAAAACTTTAAAGATAATATTCTAGGTATCATCTGGGACTTCTGGCAAAACAGCACTCTAGGCAGAAGCACCATGCTGTCCCTCCACAGCAAAGATCTGAAAAACTAAGCCAAACAGAGAAAACAGCAATCCTGAAACCCTAAAACATCAAATGAAGACATAAAGAGAACTCAGCCAAGCACCAGATGGAGTGAGAAAACTGACAGAGAACGGACAGCGAGGAGAGGTTCATGCAGAGGTCCCCTATCACCTAATGCAGCATGGATCTACCATCATGGACACCTATCAGAGACCAGCAAATAGGGGGTACGAGAAAGCAGCTTCAAAGAGCTTCCAGCAGGAGACAGAACAACCTGTAATTTGTGATATATGCTTTCCCACCCCCCACACTTCTTCACCCCTACTCGGCCTCCTCTGCTTCCCGTGGCCACAGTCTCTTGGCTGGGAAGCACCGGCTGCTTGGATTCCACCCGCCTGCACTGGCAGGCTCACTGAGTACCATTTGTTGCCTGCTGCTGTTGCTTTTTTCCGCTTCTTTTGATTTCATCCTTACCTCTCACCACCTCCCCCTCCTTTCTCTCAACTACCTGGCTCCATGCGCCACCTTTGCTTCGTCCTAAGGGGCTACGGAGCTCCGTTTGAGTGTGGAACTGCTTCCCGGCCTAGGCTGCCACGCTGGTGAGATCCCAGGGCTTTTGTTTCTTTCTTTTGAATTGTTTGTTAGTTTTCTTTTCCTTTTCTCTAGTTGGGAGTGCATTCTGGCCAGGCAGTGCTACGCGGCTTGGGACCAACCCCCTCAGCTTGTGTAGATGTGCAGAGGGATCCCTGAGAGCATTTCTTTTCTCGTGGGTTTTGTTTTTCTTTCTTTCTGTTTTTTTGGGGGCTTTTCTTGTTTATTTATTTTTTTTAATTTGTTTTGTTTTCTTTTACCTCTTTTTCCCTTTTTGTCTTTCTTCGTTACTCAGTTTCTTCTCTCTCTATACCTTCCTTCTCTTCCTGTTCCCTGAATACCTGGTGCTGAATATCTCTCAGGCTTCTAGCCAGGTTTCACTGCAACACCTGGAACAACTTCCCCAGACCTCGTAGCTACACCAGTGGGATCCCTGGGAGCATTTGTGTTCTTTTTTCTTTCTAATTTTTATTTATTTATTCTCTTCATTTTTTTCGTCATCTTCCCCTTTTTGTTTTTCTCCATTTAATAGTCTCTCATCTCTCCACTCAAACAGCAAGCTCCTCTAGCACTCTTTTTGGTTTGTTTGTATGTTTTTGACTCCTGTTCCTCTCTCCTCTCTCCCATATCCATCTTAGCCCCACACATCACAATCTCCCCCCTCCATCCTGCCTACCTGCACCATGCACTTAACGTCACACCACCAAGCAGCACAGGCCAGGTCTACCAGAACCTGCCCTGCACTGATTACCAACCCGCCCTGGTGGCTGTAGTAAGTGCCACAAACAACCCATCCCAGCAACTCCTCTTCAGCTACACCTGCCCTGCTGTACCATATCTGAGTGACTGACCCTGCCAGTTGGAGAAGGAGGCGAAAAGTATTGTGCCCAAAGATGAGCAAACAGCAAAGAACACACAGTCTGCCTGCTCAGACATAGCCAAACATAAAAAAAAAAAGACGAAACATATCTACAATCAACAAATGAGAAAAAAAAAAAAAATACTGAATGCTCCGAAGACAACAGACAATATCAAAACATTTACAAAAACAGGACACGATGGTTCCAGTAGACATTCAAAATAAAACACCAGATGACCTTCCAGTAGAAGAAAAGGCACTAGACCTAACTGACAGGGAATTCAAACCTCTAATATTCAGAATTATCCAAGAGTTGAAGCAAAA